CAAATTAATAAATAATGTTATTTATAGAATTTGGAATCTTGCGATTATATTTGTTCGTAAGTCAGTAACAATTGAGATTCAATTTCTTTTGTTTATTTATCAATCAAGAGTGTTGTAACAACTTCTATTTTTATCTATAAGTAGTTTATGTTTACTCGTCGCCAGGCGTCACATCTCTGGGTGATGTTGCTTTTTTTTGTTTAACAACAGAAGAGCAATGAAGAAGAAAATGGAATAATCGGATTATGCATATTCGTACGACATCTTGCATTTTTCTTTTCTTTAATATAATCAAACAATTTCAAAAAACCGATTTTCTTTTGCAAGCAAATATTTAATCAATATTTTATTAAAAATTTAATAAGATATCATAAATCCAGGGAAGATAAAACCCGACACGTGTATAAACACCAGAAGAAATTGACGTATCACATTGTCTATTTCCATAACTAACAATTCCAGTGGCGACAAAATGTCCTTGTTTTTTATCATTATATTCAACAATAAGTAATGGACTACCACTATCACCTGAACATGTATCAATTGAAAGACTATTATAACCTGCACATAATTGTCGATTAATATCAACAATTGATTGATGACATTTGATATTTTTTTCATCAACAATAGGCATAACAACATGTTGAAGGATAGGAGAATTTCGATTATTTGGTTTTGCTACTAATTTTCCCCAACCACTAGCAACAGCTGCTGTTTTTTCTGGAGGATAAATAGATGATTGTTTTGTTGGAAGACAACAAGGTTGAAGATCAGAAGCAAATGATCGTTTTATTTTAATAAGAGCTATATCATTAATTTGCATACTATCATTATATTGATATTCAGGATAAATGAACAATTTATCAATATCATATCGATCACCATTGAACTGACGAAGATCATGAACTCTTGCAAGTATTTGTGATTTATTAGAATTTCGACCAATTAAACAATGTGCAGCAGTAAGAATTGCATTGGAAGAAATAATAAATCCTGCACAAAAAGGATCTGTTGTATATCGATCAGTTAATGCAACAAGCCATGGATAAGTAAATGGTAAAGCATCTTTACCACCAACAATTTTTGACATAAAAGATTTTTCATAATTTTGATTTGGACAACCACATGAATGTTGACTACAAACAAAATCTGGATAAGATAAAAGAAATGATATAGTATTTCGATAACGGAAAATAAAATAGACAAATAATGGAATCAATGCACCAATAATAAGTAAGACACAAAGACCACAGACACAAAATAGAAAATAACGACGTGAAATATTTTGTCGTAGGTTCATCCGACGAACTCCTCTTAGTGGTGGTGCTTGTCGCGAAACACCATAAGGTTGTTCGAAGTACATTATTTTTTTTTTTGTTGTATTGTTGTCAATCTTGCTTGTGTTCTATTATATGTTATAACGAAGACGCTATAATAAATCAGACGTTAATCTTGACCTTATGAAAGATTAGCAATAAATGAATCATTGTTTTTTTGCATTTTGCAAACTAATTGTTTTCGATAAAAATGTATTAGAACTTTAGTATGAAATTGACTATAATTATTAATATAAGATCCAAGTTTTGTTTCTAATTGAATATGACAAAAATGATTTTCTTCATCAGCTAAATAATAATAGTGTATTTTAAAAACAGCACGATTCTATATGTTAACTTTGTTACGAAATAAAATTAATAAAATGTTTTTTTTTTCATGTCTATTTAATCTCTAATATCAAAGTCAATCTTCATCTTTTCAAGGTCGAATAAAACATAAAAAACAAAACTTTCTATTTTAAATAGTAGTATTTTGCCTATAATCATTGTTTTGAGCATGATCTCTTTTTGTATTGAAATATCAATATTATCTGACTAATTACATATAAAATTAATCGATTGAGTAAAGTCTTTTTATCAGGTTAATAATCTTGATTGTTGTCATATCGATCAAATATCGATATATACAATGTTTTGTCAAATTTCAGTTCAACGATAGAATTATCACATCTGATTTCGAGCTTTTAACTTCAGCTTTCGGTTATAAGTTGGTCTCAATGAAACTAAGGAAACTCTACAAGTGTTTATACTTATGACTATTCATTATCGAAATATAATTAACCTTAGGGCGATAAAAAAAAAACTAATCTTTTTAGTTTTTTAAAATTATCGTTTATGCATTATCATAATAATTCTCTGTCAAGTAAATAATGGGGAAATGGTCACTAAAATGCACTATTATCCATAGCTAGACTGTTTTGACCATTAAAATGCATTTTTTAAAGTGAAAAATGGAGAATGATCATTAAAATGCATATGAATTCGTTTTAGAACCATTTTGACCATTTTTTTTGATCGCCAAGTCTATGTTTTAGCAGTTTTAGACTAATTCAAGTATATTTGTAATCTCTAAAAATTATGCGATTCATTAGTCTTTTCTTACCTAGCGTTCATATTTCACACGAAAGTCAAGAATGCAGTTCAAAATTTATACTAAAAGTCGATGGCAACTTTCGATCGTGATGAAGTCAAGTTCAAGAACAATCACAACAGCTAGTTGTTACATGATTTTTTTAACAGTACATTGGTAATTCTCCAATCAGGAATAGTCGTACTATATCATAATACCCACTGCGTTCACAACTTTTCCTTGAAGCTTAAATGCCTATTGTTGAAAATAGCATAATTTTTTTTAAAGATAGTAGATTGCGGTTTTGTTCACCAAATGGGCCATATGTCATAGAAAATAGGCCTAGCACTGGTTTTTTTCTGATAGATGTAGAATGAAAGTGATTCTAAAGCAATATGGTCAGCAGTGTCACAGATCCGGAAAATCGGGAATCTTAGGAGGCATTGCATGTAAGTCACGACCAATCCCAGCAGACCATTGCTCTATCGATGTCACCGATTTGACTGATATTTTTACAGTAGGTAGGCCCAATAGACTTAGGAAGAAACTGAAAATTTCAGGTCAAACGGATAAGCTATTTTGGAGATATAGATGACACAAGTGTGAGGGAGTAGGTCCTATATGGAGTACTTTATAGCGCAACACTTTTCAGTAAATCTCCATTTTCTGGTGAACAGCAAGAGATATAACCGAGATTTTTTCACCATAAATACTATCCACGATGAGGTATATTTTTATGGTAATAAAAGTATCTCATCCCTGAATGATTTTTGCCTGGCATTATATACCATTTTTAGAAAACATCCTGACGTAGATACGGTAAGTTGGTTGAATCAGCGCACTAGAATTAACCAAGAGTAATCTCATCTGAAAGAGCACATCAAAATGCATTGAATGACGCTTTCAAAAGTTTGTAGAATTGAACTTTGGTAGCAAAGATTTTTTGAACAAGACTGGAAGGGCAGAATTTGGGGCCCGATTCTCACTATGTAGATTGATGATTTATTTTCAAATGTTTGATTTAAGCATTTCAGATGAAAGCCCATGTCGAGAAACCTCTAAATTAAAAATTTCAGCTCATTTGAACTTATTTGTGAAAAATGATGCAACATTCATTTTTGTGAAATATCATAAGATAGTATATACAGTAGTGGACAAAATTATAAGAACAAAGATTTTTTAAATGTATTAGTGTGTTTCCATCTCCTCCTTCTCTGCTTGAATTGATCTAACAATCAGTACATATACATTCAAGTGTAGCTTCATTTAAATCATTTAGTCATCGATAGATTCCAAGTAAAACAAAATTCATGCTTGTTTTCGTTTGTTTGGCAGCATTGGAGAACGTTGAGAAGTCAATAATCTAACGAATACTGTAAAAATAATAGTAATTTCTATATTTTTAACATTTCCTTTAAAAATTTGTAGAACAGTACATTTCATTCATCATGTAGAATTATTTTTATACTTCACTGCACATTAGAAATTTTTCGAAATCGAGTACATAATGTAAAATATCGTTTTTGCAAACATTTTCATAGCCCATTTTGAGCAGTTCACTCCTGTTATCTCGCCCCAAAATAGTGGACGCATATAGTTTAAAGCAGTTCGTTAAGAGAAACTTCACTTATAAAAAAATTAATTCAAGTTATCACTTAGAATACATTTCTGCTGAAATGATGATTGAATTCAATAGTTAAAACAGGTTATGAAAATAGTCAAAAAAGTCATATTTTATATCGTGCACTCGATTTCATCTGGCATTTTACTAGTTATACTTGATAATAGCAACGATCAATATTGATAAGTAAATTACATTGTTCTTTCAATGATTCAATACAGTTTTCATCCAAACTTTAACGTAATAAATACTGAAAAAGCAGAATATGTTGAAAATAGCAGATGTCATACTAAGTAACACTTGTTAGTTTTAGGTTCAAGAAAAATTCAAATAATTTTAGATGAGTTTTCTGAGAGTATAGTCAAGATTGGCGTATTAATTTTTTACGTCAAGTATTTAAGATAGCACTAAAGATATCCAGAGAATATATCGAACGGGATATGAAGCAAGGAATCAGATGAAAGGAGAGAAGATAAAAGAAATAGTGAGACAGAGAAAAATATGAAAAATGTGACATAAAAATGTCTTCAAATCGACATAATTATAACGGTATGAAATGATCACAAAAAATGATGTGTGTGTCAGTATTATTTTGTCATTTTTTAACACCATTTTTAGTGTTCGACAAAAAAATCATTTTAATGGATCACAGAGGATTCATTTTTTTTTATTACGATTTGAATGTATTTTAATGCTATTTTATCATTTTTTTCCCTCTCTGAACATCATCGTATTCTTTTTCAATTTCTCGACTATTTTCAGTTGTTCATATATAACTTGGTAAAATATATAGTTATTTTAGTTTTCAACGCATAATTTTTCGTGAACATATTTTCCTAGTGTTGTTGAGTATATTGATTGTCTAGAAATTAATGACGATGATGATTTTTGTAAAAAATAATATTCTCTTATAGGAGAAGTTTTATATGATGAAAAAAAAACAACATATAATGAAGATATTGTTTATGTTTTGTTAGAGTTTTCTTCTTGCTTCTGTTTGTTTTTGAAGTAATCGAAGAAGTTCTAATGCACGTTCTTTAAATCGATTGCGTTCTGGTCCCGATGCAGTCTTTTTTATATCTTCATCTTTCACAATAACACCTAGAAATAGGATTGTCAAAAATAAATGAAAGAAAAAGAAATAGATGATGAAGACAAACCAAGTAAATGTGATGGAACTGGTTCATCACATATATTTATAAGTTCATGATTTTGTAGATGAGTTTTTTCATTAGGCACAGTGAAATTAATAAGATCTGATGAATATGTTACTCTTCCATCTTTGAAAATAAAAATGGAAAGATACTATAATAATAAGAAAAAAAACCTAGTAACTTACTTTTAAGTGTTGCTATAATTTGAACAGTATGCTTTTCACCAGGTTTAAGATAATGTATACAAATTAGCATTTCTTGATGTATTGACGATTGGTTTATCTATGGGATATATGTATAGTAGAATATTAGTGTCCTTCAGGAACACTGTTTCTTGCACCTTGTTTCCCGATGGAACAAGAATGAAAACGATATGAAATATTGGCGTTCCTGAATTTTGTTCTTTTCGTATTATTTTCATATAAAGAGTAGGAAGAAAGCTTCTAGACAAAATATTTGACTGGTTTTAGCGTATTTAAATACATTGAAAACGAGTGTGAAATAGTGTTTTAAAACCAGAATTTTGTGCTCTTTGAGAATATATGCTAAGGATGTTTTCTATAACTTCTGACTATTGAGCTATAGGTGGATCTTGAAACGACTCAAAAAAAAAAAGTTTTTTGGGAAAGAAAATCTCCAAATGGAACTTGTTTCACACACACATGTCACAGAATTTTATTGAATATACTGAAAGATATAGAAAATAATTCTCTACAAAGCGGTACATTTGAGTAAAAGTGTTTTACAAATCGTTGAGATGCAGTGAAGACCTATATAAAGTTTATCACTAGAAAAAATGGCTATTTTTCCTGATTTTCGTCTTTTCAGTGCAAAATGACCCTCTGTCACAATTTGATCATTTTTTAGCGAATTAAACAAAAATCTTCATTCTTCAATCATTTGGTAGAGTAGAGATCACTCTCAAGTACCATATATTTATAGAATTTATTTGATATTAACAGGAAACAGACTTGTCTCCAGAAAAAGAAGATTTTTGCTTCTCGAAAACTTTTTTTGGATAGTGTCAAAACTTACTTGTACCTCAATAGTCAAAAGTTACAGCGAAATTCTAAGCATATATTCCGAAAGAGTACAAAATTCCGATTCTATTACACTACTTCTCACCATTTTCCGATGCTTTAAATATACGAAAACTAATCAAATATTTTGCCCAGTAACTTTCAGTCTACCACTTATATAAAGGCATGTTTATGTAAAGACTATTTATTTTTATGTATTTAATCATATGTACTTCTAATCTTAGTTTTATTTTAAAATTTCAAATCATATCAAATTGTCTAAATCCAAATATCATCAGAAGTTAGTGTCTCATAGTAATATTTTCTCTCAGACGTAAAAGAATGAAATAAGAATAAGAAATCTAAAAGTTTTTCAGCTAGGACTGTGAGTTGATTGACTGAGTAGTATTTTCTATTTTCAACGAATGAATTCATAACCAAAAACTAATCCGAATCAAATATGATTGGCTCTATATATAACATTTTATTATAATTAATTCGTTCATTACCAAATCGATTGATTACTGTCTCAGTTAGTTATCAAGTTGATTAAATCTGTGACTTGATCGATGATCTCGGTGGATGAAGCGTAGATATAGATAGAGAAAACAATAAAGACCTACACCTACACTCTATGTTAATTACCAACTGAAATGCTAACCAATCGATTTGGTAATGAAAAAATTAATTAAAATAAAATGCTACATATATATATAGTCGATTATATTTAATTAGGACTACTTTTCGGTTATGAATTCATTCGACGATATTGAAATTGATGAAAATGGACTAATTCTACTGAGCCGTCACTGGTGGGATAATAATAATACACAGTAGTTTTAAAAATTTACGACCTCTAAAATCATGATTCGAGAATGTTTTTAATCTATTTTTTTTATTAATTTGTTCTATACTATTGATATTTTTTCATCCGAAAAGTTCATGAAATAGAAAATTTTTTAAGAAATCTTCAAAAAGATCTAAACCTCGGTTGATCTTTCTGCTTATGAGAACGAATCGCGAAAAAGTGTTCTCATCACAAGACGCTATTCAATAAACAAAAATTTAGTAAATAAATTTACATAATGAATTTCTTTCTCGTCTAAACAGACAATATATTTTTGAGCGTAACGATCACCAATATGATACCATTTAATAATAACATTAAATGTTGAAGGATCGTTTTTATTGGGATCAAAACGTATTATTGGACTTAAAGCAAAAATTTGACCATTAAAGAAAAAAGACTAAAAATAAATAAATATATCAGATTTATTTTTTAAATTAAATAAGACATACGCAAGACTTTGATTCTTTTATTCGCCAATCTTTATTGAGAGGAATTGCTTGAATTTTGACATCTATTTGCTTCTCTTGTTTTATTACATCGAAACCTGATGCTGATATATATTGATAAGAACTATCAAATTCAACTTGATAACACTTATTAACAATTAACTATTATCAAAGAAAATAAACATATTAATTATATAGTTTTCATGATCTTATACATTATTCTTCTTTTTTAATATACAAAATATTTACAAAAAATTTTTCAATAAGTCGCCGAGCTGATTCAGGTTCGATCTTGATAGTTGCATAAATTTTATTATCTGGAAATTCCATAGCTTCACGACAAAAAACAATATCAAGATTTTCCCATAGTTTTTCGTCTTTCTATATTCAAATGGAAAATAATTATCAATAAAAATTAATGGTCAACGTATTACCATTTCATCTATTTCTTTATAAAATGTACTATAACAAAAAAAAAAAAACAAGTTTTACGATCAATACGTTAATAATAAAAACAGCTTATACCGTGTTTGTCCGCTGGATTCTATGTTACTCATTATCACATTTTTTAATTCAGATGAACTATAAAACGAACGACAATATAGCAAATATTTTCCGACAAGATAAATGCAAAGCTTCTTTGGTTGTTTTTCTATTTATTTAGTCGAGTAAAATAATCTGTTTTTTTTCTCTCACGTAATAAATCTACCCATAGCGGGAATGCAAAAAATGAATAAAAAGTTCTTTTTTTTCTTTTTCGTCGACATTTATTTTTCTTTCCTCTTGTCTGCTTAGTAACAATGATTGTGTACAATGTTTTTTGCAAATAAATTTCAAAGAGAGAAATTTTAACAAAGTCTAGCAATAATTCGTGCAAGATCATATTCTAACTTTATCAAACAAGAAATCATCCAATAGTTTTGTTTTTATTTATTTTGTTATAAACAATGAGTAGATCTCGTTCATCTGACTATTATCACGTATAAATGAATTATTATTTAATAAGACTTTAAAATAAATTTTCTTTATTTATTTTAGTCTGGAAGAGAACATTCTCCAGATGATAGGATTGATCAATTGAATATTCGTTATCGAACTTGTCATTCATATGTGTCTCCAGAACAAATCGAGTATTTATTTTAATGAATATTTCAATAATATATCTATTTTGTGTTTAGTAATGAAAACGACGATACTTGTGCATGTAAACGACCGCAAGATAAACATAAATTTCAACAATCAATAGAAAATTCTCGCTGGACTATGATATATAATACTCGAGAAGAAATTAATGCTGCATATGGTCAACTTCAAAAGGGTGCAAAGGTATAATAAGATATTTATTTACGTTTTTATTAGTTTTTTTTAAAATTTTTATTGATTTAGTTTGTTCGATTAGCTTTGGATACACCTGAAGAAAAAACTGAAAAAATTCTTCGTGATGCTTGGGACCTTCTAACACCTTCATTTATTATATCAATTATTGGTGGTGCAAAATATTTTAAAATAAGTGATCGACTTGAAACAAATTTTATAAATGGTATTATTGATATAATTCAAAAATCAGGTATATAATGAAACAATTCTATCATTATGATAGTTGATTATTATTTTCTTTTTTTGTTTTTTAGATGCATGGCTTATTACAAATGGATATGCTACTGGTATTGTTCATCTTGTTGGACAAGCAATTCTTAAATTTAAATTATCTAATGTTAAGAAAAACTCCATCATTGCTATTGGTATTTGTAAATGGGGTAGTATAAGAGATGTAGAAGAAATAACACGTCCAAAAGATGAAGAAACAGAACAGGTTTAATTTAAAAATAAAAAAAATATTAATTAATATAGTTAAGATTAATTTTACAGATAACTACTGATTCATCGAATATTAATAACAAGAAAAGATTAAAAACACGTCGATCTGGTGAATGGGATCTTGAAACGAATCATAGTTATTATCTTATGTTGGATGATGGTACTCTTCGTAATTATGATACACAAGATTATCGAACCCGTTTGGTCACTCATATGGCAAGAATAAATAGTGAACATGATTTTTTCGGTATGTATATTTTTTTTATGAAGTTTTACATAGAAGATTCTTCTAAAGGTTATGATACCATTTTAAATGCCTATAATTCTATTATTAATAAAGTTTACTCAAATAATTTTTTATTTGTAAGAGGAAACTTAAAAGTTTTCATTCTGAAAGACTAAATTTATAAATACGCTATGAATATTATTATTTCTGGATTGTAATATAAAAAGAAATTGGTACTTTTCCAATGTCATAAAACAATATGTAACGTTTGGTTTTGTTTTGCTATATTTACTTCAATTTATATAATTACTATGAACTTTAAAAGCAACATCTCCTCCTTCTTTCACGACGTCAAAAATGAAAATTTTTACGATGTTTTTGTTTTTCAATTGATCTATATATCTTGAAGTGTTCTCTATCAATTTGCAAAAAAAAACTTCTGTTGACAGCATTTTAACCTTGAAAAGAATGATTCTCGACACTCTCCTATCTAAAAAAACACTCGATTTTTTACCTTGTGTTGTTCTCAAAATATTTTATCTTTGGGTTTAATCTATTTATAGTTATCTCATTTTTAGCGTATGATCACGTTAGAATTGCAGATTGAGATAATTGAGACATTGTTCGACTTCAGTTCGAGATATGATCAATATGACAGTCGACAATTTCCGATTTCAAACTTATTTTTAATAGTATGTATTATATTTTATATTCAACGCTATTTCTAATCGTTGATTGAGGAGTCAGTATCTTCAGTATGATTTACTCTTAGTTTTTAACTCTTTCGTTGACTATTTCATTTATTTCCTTTTCTTCGTTAGTAATAAAAGAGAGATATACTCAACAAGACGTATAGTATTCATGGAGTTCTGATAACGGAAATCTCGTAGGCATAAAAACGGTATTTGCTGAATGTAGGAAACTAAGTCATTGAATGCACAGTAGTCGAAAATTTATAAACTGTCAAATAAAAAAGAAAAAGAGATGAGTATTTAGGAGAAAATCGAAATTTAATTTTGTTTAATGTTTTTCTCAAAACCAAATTTAATAAAAAAAGAAGTACTGTTTTTCCGATATGGCAAGAGGAATCATACTGAAAGTTCTTTTGCATATACTAGGAACTATTTGGCATCGGTATTTCTTTTATCTCAAAAACTATTTCTCTGCCGATTTTTTGCAGTTTTCACAAAATTTGAAACAATATAAGAAAACAAAAAAATCATACTCACTCTAAAGAGTGTTTAGTATCCGTAAAAAAAAACTTCAAGGGAATCGAATGCAGTATTTCGGAGAAATAGGAGCGAAAAGAGAGGTTCTTTTGACCAGTTGTGAGCTGATATTTCATAGAAGATAGCATTCGAGAACTTCGAGTCCAGCACAACTTTTGCTCTACTGTTCAAGATCTATGTACCCTGAAAATTTCAAAATTTTCTAATGAACCGTTCTTCAGAACCACCGGAAGGACGGAGTACCCTTAAATTATTAGCTTGTCTCACTACTATTTTATGAGTATGCACTTTTATATGTTCTTATGAAAAAAATGTACTAATGCCAAGTCTGATGACAGTTGAGATCATGCAATGAGCTGATACCTTTATATTACTGATTATCATAGTGTTGGTCTTGACAGTAATAAACTGCTTTCCCATTATATATTAGTATATAAATCGTTTTGAAAGTTATCGAACAAATGTTAAATAAGCAATGCAGAGATATGCCAATGATTTAAAGTCTATAATAATGATATAAATTGAAGTAAATATGAAAAAATAAAAATAAAAAGTTATATCTTGTTTTAATGACATTGGAATAGTGCTAAACTTTTTATATTATAACCAAAAATAACAATCTTCAAAATGTATTTAAAGCTTTGTCTTCTAGAATAAAAACGTATCAGTCTCTTCTATGAAATTAAAAAATTTATTTGATTAAGTTTAATCAATAATCGAGTTATAGACAATTAAAATGTGATGATGACATTTGGAATATCCTGTATATTTTTCAAAGACATATAATGAGTGTATATTTCAGTCGAAAGTTCTCGATTGACTTCTCCTTTCCGCAGTAACTGAGATTAAAGTTTATGAAGTGTCTTCCCTCGAAATGGTCCTCTAGCAACGAGCAAAGAAATTGAATACTAGAGAAATCAACTCTCAGAACTGTTTGAAACCCTCTAATGTGCGCTCATAAAACATTTTCTAAAGGTACTGAAAAGTAAAGATTTTTTATATTTGACATAGTTAAATAATTCTCTAATTGAAGTACTGCAGATTACGTCCAACTATTACAAAAAAAAAACTTTAAACTAATTAGGAGCTTTAGCATTTTGTCATAGATCAACTCGAGTATTTCAGACTTCATCGTAATACAGGATATCGTGTATCAAAGGATAGAATGTAACTCCACGAACGCTTATGATACACTATTACGGTAGTTAAATTTAAAAAATAGAAGAATGAAAGAATAACTAATGAAGAAATCTGCAATATAAATAAACCGACAAACAATTACTCAGTGCATAGCAACAAAATAAACAATACAAAGAGACGCAAAATGAATAATAAGGGGAAAAAATCACATCGGGCTGTAAAAATAAAAGTAACAGAACGTTTTTTCTCAAGGTCAATGAACATTGGAGAGTAATTATTATCTATTGAGAATTCATCACATTATATACGTATTTTATATCAATATAATATAATTGAACAAGAAATACGAAATAGATATTTCATCAGCCAATTAACTTTCAACGTAGTTAGTTACTCGTAATTGAAATTTGAAAGGTCTCGCTATTAAAAAAAGAAAGCTTGATAAGATTGCTACAATTGATACACTAAAGTAGATACGAAATAGATCATCGATGATTTATTTTTTTATATCTAGTACCTGTGGTTACGATTGTGGTTGAAGGTGGTATAGATACAGTAAAAAATATATATTATGATTTAAAATCCAATATTCCTGTAGTTATTATTGATGTAAGAAAAACGAATTAAATATCTGGTCTTATTAATTAATAATTATATTGATAAATAAATAGGGTAGTGGTCGTGCTGCTGATTTTTTTGCTCGTTGGTTATTATGGACGAAGGACCTTGATAAAGATGTTAAACATCGAGATATCGTTTGTGAAATTGAAGAACTAAGTATTGAAGATGACAATACAGAATGTGAGACCATGAGACCTCAAAACACAGATGCAAATAAACGATCCAAATCGAATGTCAAGTAATTTCACTTTTCAGACTATGCTTTTTATTTTTCTTATTTAAAAATTTCTATACTTAATAGTATGAATGATCATACTGAATGTCATATTAATTCTAAAAGTAAAAAGTAAATCTGCAAAGCAATTTTTTTTTTCTTTGTTTTATTTATCTATTTTTGTTTTTTTTAAGACTTGTACAAATTTTCGACAATTATAAGGAACGAATCAAAAAAGATATAGAAGAAACTTTCTTTAAGAATAAAAAATCGAAAAAAAAAGACAGCAATAAAGAAAATGCTGATACA